GTGACTGAGGTCAGGTTATTGCAGGGCTGCTGCATGTCTCAACAGGTTGTAGCTCTATTGCCTCCTCCTGACTCTGGAGGACCATAGAACCTTCAAGAAGTTGGTAAGCAGGAAGGGGTGGAGACCTAATCTGCATGTTCATGGGAGTACAGCCAATCCCAGATTTGGAGGCTCTGGTAGAGTGGTGGAGTGGCCATAAATATGAGAGAGTCAGGCTGACAGAGGAGTTGGGTGGAATATGGAGTACTGAGGAGATTGTCAGTGCCTGGGAGGGCTTCCCTAGGTCTAGGGGGCGCTGGCTTCAAGGCTGGGCTCGGGCTGGCTCGGGAGGATACACTGAGCAGTAAGGTGTGAATAAGAGGATCGAGACCTGGAGCAGCAGGGAGCAAGGAGGACAGAGTGTGTACAGCATAACTCTTTGTGATCTACAAGGGGAAAGACTGCCACACATAGCAAGCTTTCCAAGGACAGCGCTGGGGCTCAATCCTTTATCCTTGTCCCGGGAGATCTTCCGAGAAGCCAGGAGGGCAGGTAGTGGTTGCAGGCTGCGGAGGTGGGAGCAGCTCTATAGGGGGAGAGAAGATGACTCTGTATGTAGCTATAAGAAGCAAGATTGATTTTTGAGGGGCTACTAGTTCCTCACCCATAAGGGCAGCTGCTACTGATCTGCAACGACTGACGGCTGTTACGAAAAGAACAGTCCAGGATCTGCATTTGTACATAGGAAGGAAGTGTCCCCCTTCCATTCCTTCAAACCAAACTGGGCATCCCATAATCCCTATTTCCCTATCCAAGTTGATTTCCCCTAATAAAACAACAAAACCAGGCCCATATCATTGTCTTTGGATGCACGTCTGTGTGAGAAATAACTGTTGCCTGGCTGTGTGGAGAGAGGCTTAGGGATACCCATTACTCAGTAGCCCTCACGAGGGTAGCATTACATATTTTTAAATTCACATGCATTTATTTATATTTTTCCGTATTTACATGCAAGCCAAGCTATCCTGTAAAGTGACAGTTGCAGGGTTGCATACTACTATTGGCCAGTAAGAGAGTCCATCATGGTGATGGGCCAATAGGAATATGACGGGGCAGAAAGTAACACAAGCTCCAAAGTGTCAAAGCTTTACATTTCTTGACAGCCCGGCATTTGGCTGTGAACCAGGGTATTAAAGGCTGCAACAGGTATGTGCCAGCTCTTTAATCATTAAGCAGTATTTTTTTATGACAGTGTCTCTGTACATTCTGCTGTATCTACCGTTTTGCATTTAGCTAGACTGTCACACATTCTAATGCACAGAAAAATCAGGGATAATATGAAACTAATCAGACTTTAATTGACTGATATCAGAACACATAAAGATGTTTTCAGGCTGTTGCTATGAGTCGATATACCTTTTGCACATGTGTGTATTTTTTAAGAATTGAACCCTAATACATTAATGGAAACTGTGTAAGAAATGTGCAAGTAGAAGAATATCACGGCCAGCATTTCTAACAGAGGATATGACTTATAAGCACGCATAAAATAATAAGTAGTTTTCCAAACAGTGTGCTGTCAATATATTTAGCACATTCTAGCTGTCCTCTGAACCGGGAGGGTAATTTCTCTAGCAGCCCTCATATAAATATAAGAAGATTTGCAATGACTGAACAATTTCCTAAATAATATATTCAGCAGGTGGCTTAATCATATTTGTGCAGTTCAAAAAGCCTGCTTAATAATGTATAAAGAGCTAACCAAACAATATGTACTTGGAACATAGACAACAGTTACTAATACCGGGACACAAGATGTGTCTAACGGCAGTAATCATTACGTAAGGGAAAAACACAATATCAAGAAAGATGGCTAACTTAAAAGAGAAGTATGGGTTTTAAAAGACAATCATATTCGCCTAGATGGCTGCAGCATCAATCTGATTCTCCAGCTGTCCCCTCTGGATCTAAACCAAGAACTGAGCAATCAAAGGCTGCTGATCTCTCAGTTCTCGGGTCCACTCTGAGCACCGAGTGACTGTCAGTCCCTGCTCTCTGCTCTGCCCCTCCAGCACTCAATGTGGAGAAGCTGGGAGCGGCTATTTGAAAGGATCGTTGAAGAAAAAAACCCGAGTTGCTACTTCTGACCTCCTTCTAAAAATGCTGGTTGCCTGTCTATATTCGCTGTCAGCCGCCCTAGACACATTAGTACCCCTAACCACACGTAGCATTAGACCCCGACCGCTTCAACCCTGGCAGAACGACCACACCAAAAATCTTAAACAACGCAGTCGTGCGCTGGAGCGATTATGGTGCAAAACCAGATCCCAACAAGCGTTCACCCTATACAAATCTGTCTTCCTCACCTACACCTCCTCCCTCCACGCTGCCAAACAAGCCTACTTTGTAACCCTCATCAATACCCTCTACTCCAGTCTTCGCCGGCTCTTCTCCACTTTTAAACTCCCTACTCTCTTCCCCCCCCCCCACCTCCACCCAGTACCTCACTCCCCGCCCACAAAATTGCTAACCATTTCCAAAACAAGATCAACGCAATTCGCAGGGACATCGCCAATGCACAAACTTCCACCCCACCTAGCCTCCGTCCCATGATAACCCCCTCAACACTCCCCTCCTCTGACCTCGCAACTGCCCAAACCCCCACCCCACCAAACACCCCGCACACTAAAACCCCCCCAACACTCCACTTCTTCAACCTTGCTACCACTGAAGAGGTCACTGAGGTCTTCTCCGACGCCCACCTCACCTCACCACCTGCCCCCTTGACCCTGTCCCCACACAACTCCTATGGTCACCCTCCTCCTCCATCCTACGCTCCCTCACTCACGTCTTCAATCTCTCCCTCTCTACTGGCGCATTCCCCTTCCCCCTAAAGCACGCGCACATCACTCCCACTCAAAAAACCCTCCCTGGACCCCACCGACCTGAACAACCTTAGACCCATCTTCCTGCTGCCATTTACATCCAAACTCCTCGAGCGCTTAGTCTCTATAATCGCCTAAGCTCCCACCTCAACGACAGCAACCTCCTTGATCCCCTACAGTCTGGCTTCCGCCCCTTACACTCCACCGAAACCGCCCTACTCCAACTCACCAACGACCTGCTAACCGCCAAATCTAATGGCCACTACTCAGTCCTCCTACTCCTCGACCTCTCCGCGGCCTTCGACACAGTTGACCACCCCCTCCTCCTTAAAAAACTATACTTCCTTGGCATCAGAGACTCCGCTCTCTCCTGGCTCTCCTCCTATCTATCCCAGCGCTCCTTCAGTGTTACCTATAATGCTGCCACCTCCCCCTCTCTCCCCCTCTCTGTTGGGGTCACCCAAGGCTATGTCCTCGGGCCCCTTCTCTTCTCCATCTACACCTCCTCCCTTGGCCAACTGATACACTCCCACGGCTTCAACTACCACCTCTACACCGATGACACGCAAATCTACCTCTCTACCCCTCGCCTTACCCCTTCAGTCTCCGCCCGTATCACCCACCCCACTGAACGACATATCAGACTGGATGTCACTCCACTTCCTCAAATTAAACGTTTCCAAATCCGAGCTCCTAGTTTTACCCCCAGCCCATGCCCCCCCCCCCATCCTCTACATCATGACCAATAACGCCACCATCAGTCCCATCCCACAAGCCAAAGTTCTAGGCGTCACTCTAGACTCCAATCTGTCCTTCCAGCCCCATGTCCAATCGCTGGCAAATTCATGCAGGCTCCACCTCCGCAACATCTCCAAAATACGTTTCTAACCCCAGACACTACTAAACAACTCATTCACTCCCTTATTATCTCACAACTCGACTAATGTAACTCCCTCCTACCCGGCATATCTCATCACAGACTATCCCCGCTTCAGTCGATCCTGAACTCAGCGGCCAGACTCATCCACCTTACCAACCGCTCCGTATCCGCCACCCCCCTCTGTCATTCCCTCCACTGGCTTCCGATTGCCCAACGCATAAAAATCAAACTACTAACATTGACGTACAAAGCTATTCATAATACTGCCCCAAACTACCTCACCGACCTGATATCCAAATACCACCCAACACGTACTCTTCGCTCCTCACAAGACCTCCTACTCTCTAGCTCCCTGGTCTCCTCCTCCCATGCCTGACTCCAGGACTTCTCCAGGTCTTCCCCCATCCTCTGGAACTCACTACCCTGATCCATCAGACTGTCACCTACCCTTCTCAACTTTAGGCGCACCCTGAAAACCCATCTCTTCAGGGAAGCCTACCCCGCCCTCACCTAACAGCCAATCTCCTCCACTCCTCCTACCACTCCATCCCCCACAGCCATTTCCTCCTGTACCACTATCCCCTCCCTCCTACATTGTAAGCTCCAAGGAGTAGGGCCCTTGAACCCCTCGTGTATTGTATTGTTACTGTATTGTCTCATGTACTGTCTCCCACTATAATGTACAGTGCTGAGCAAACTTTTTGGCGCTATATAAATACTGTATAATAATAATATATTCTCTGACTTCAGTACATTCAGAGCTGCTGTCCTGAAACAGGCATGCAGCAAATGAAATCAGAACTTTAAAAGTCAGTGGCTTAGAAAGTTCTAAAGAAATTACAGCCAGGCAATTAGCATTTTTTAAAGAAGGTGAACATGGCAGAATTTAGATTTCTCTCCATTCAAGTTTGCTTTGATTTCATGTATTGCTATCTGCCAGACAGGAGTGCTCCAATATCAGAGTGAATGCTGATGACTATCTCACCGACCTGTACTCTTGAAACAAGATGCATGTTCCCCAGGGGCAGACTGACCATTCGGGAACTCGGGCACTGCCCAAGGGTCCAGGGTCAGTAGGGGGCCCCATGAGATGCCCCTGGTACATTTCGTAGGCTTTTTTGGGTGTGGTTTGAGTGTGGGCAAGGACACAGGGGCCCCATGATCCCCTATTGCCCGGGGGCCCTGTGAGTTGTTAGTCCACCCCTGATGTTCCCAGTCATTATATCTACATATGTACTTATATACATGATATTTACCTGTAAAAGTATTTTGTTGCCATCGTGATCTTCAGTTTGCCATCTGCCTTCACTGATTGGGCTGCACTGGTTGGGCAAGAGAGGAATTAATTGCCCAAAGTCTTTTACTCTGAACTCCAACAATGAAGACTCTAAAGGCACTGGAGTTTGTCCTTTGAGAAGTCTTTTTAGGGAAAATTCAATATCAATGTCCATATTGGAGTAGATGGGAAATACACAAAAATCTGCTTTCTTCTTCCACACAGACTTTTTCAGGATGAGCTCATACATTTTCATCATGTCTGCAAAATTCTCATAGCTGCAGTAGATGGTGAAGCGGATGATCTCTTTCCCATAATGCACCTGTCTTATGGCCCATAGTGGGGTGCCGCATGCCAGAGTGAAAAAGTCTTGGTTGCATGGCATGTAAGGTAAAAATCTGCCATGGACTCGCTCTGTGTGATGGAACTGCCAGGGTGGTTTTTGAAAGCAATCATGAAGATGCAAGATTTGCTCTTCTCCATATTCCTCTTGTAAAAATAATATCACAGCAAGGGCAGGCTGGCATGTGAAGCCCTTATTCAGCTTCCTCTTCTTGGAAATCCTTCTTTCTGAAACACGGAACAACTGCAAATCAGGGTGGATCCACGCCAAGAGTTTATCAATGGCATCCTGCAGACATTTTGATTCCCCGGGGTCTGTAATAATATGGATACTGACAAGGAAAGGGTCTTGTAAATCATCTACTGACAGCTCACCTATTGAGATAAATAAAAAATATTAGGGACTTGTCCTCCAGATTAACATAATTTATAATTGAAGTCTTGTCCTTAAAGTATATCTAGCCCCTATAATAGCAATGTAATATTTTATCCTGCAGCTCACAAGGCTTTAGAAATGGTGGCTGTGTTTCTTTAATTTTTTTCATGCCTTTTTTTCTTTATTTTCACATTTATTTCCCTTTATTTTTGTCCTGTCAATAACACGGTTCTTGTCCTATGGTAAAAATGCTTACTCACTGCACTGCATCTGTGGAGCATTCTGCAGTCCTATCTCAAACAATGCCATCAGGAAGAGTGTTAGGACTACAGAATGCTTCTCCCTTTCCTTTCATTAAAATTGAAGAGTATTTTGTAGCCTCAACACTTTTCCTGATAACATTGTTTGAGGTCAGACATCAGAGTACACGCTTAATGCAGATATAGCATGCTTTCTATGGTATATTAATCAGACTAAGTCCTCATGCACACCGGACGTTTTTACAGCGGCTGTTTTTAGCTTTTGTCATTTTTTTCTACAGCTAGTAAACCCCCAACATGTTATCCTAGGTGTCCATACACACATAGACTGCAATCAATGTTTTTTGGCTGGGACATTTTTTGGATGGAAAAAAAAACAGGACTAGTGGGTTTCTAGAGTTTTTAGCTATAAAAACGCTCTAATGTTGAAAAATGCAGCAAAACGTGGTAAAAAGTGGTAAAACGCTGCAAACCGGCATTTTTTAATGTTTCTTTTTACCAAAAAATATAATTTTTTTGGTAAAAAGCCAAAAAACACAAACGTGGGAAAACGCCACTAAACGTGGCAAAACGCTAATGCAAAAATGCTAAAAAAAAGACTGAAAAACTCACATTTTTTTGACTTTACACAGCTAACATTACCAGCGTTATCAAAACATCCAGTGTGCATGGAAAGTAAAACAGAGTAAACAGAGGAAATTCATTGTTAGAATTTGCACATACTTTAAAACAAATGCACTAGAGTTTTTTTTTACTTTATGGTTATAGATGTAAGCTGCGGTCTAAAAGTCATGATCGCCCCAGCGGTCACTTTATAGAAATGAGAAAAGTTGTCACTGTGACTAGCAACAAACTTCCTTCTGAGAAGTCTGAGGTGTGTAAAAAAACTTAAAGCATACTTACCTCCATCCATCTGATGCTGCAGCTGTCCCTGCTGGCTCTAAGCCTGAGAACTGAGCAGTGGCGTCCCGAGGCAGGTGAGGGGGGTGCAGTCTGCACCGGGTGACACCGACCGCACGGGGTGACACCGGACCCGCTCCGGAAAGTTGTAAAGCAAGCCTACGATCCCCTCAGGATGAATCCGATCCATCCTGCGGGGATCATCAGCTTTTTTTACAACTTTCCTTTTCTTGGAGTGGGTCCGGTGTCATCCCGTATAGGTTGCATGCCCACGATCCTGCGGGGATCATACGCAGTTGTTTCAGGGGGGACATATCTACATGGGAGACACATCTTGCTGCTACACCGGACCCGCTCCAAGAAGAGGTAAGTTGTAAAGAAAGTCGACGATCCCCGCAGGATGGATCGGATCTGCAGACTGAGCATAATGGATCGGAGTCCGATCTATTATGCTCAATCTACAGATGCGATCCATTCTGCAGGGATCGTCGGAGGGGGTGTCACCAAGTGTTACCGCACCGGGTGATACCAACCCTAGGGACGCCTCTGGAACTGAGCAATCACATGACCGCTGAATGCTTCATTCTCACTCAGCTCTGAGCAGAGTTTGGCAGTCACCGCTCTCTGCTATGCCCTTCCAGTGCTCACTGAAACACAGGGCTGGGGAGGGGCGTGAATAGCTGGCTCTGGCTCTCAGCCATGCACTAAGCCATCTGCCAATTAAGCATCTGGGTAGATCCCAACACTATAGCCAGGAACCTATAATAGCCAGGAGTGGCTGGCTTCGTGACATGACTCTGGGAAACAGGACAGCACAAGTACACTTCTGTGACCCACAAGAGATGTATTACAAAAAAGATTTGCCCATACTTCTCTTTTAACCACTTTCCTACAGGGCACTTATACCCCCTTCCTGCCCAGGCCAATTTTCAGCTTTCAGCGCTGTCACACTTTGAATGACAACTGCGCAGTCATGCAACACTGTACCCATATGAAATTTTTATCTTTTTTTTAGACAGATAGAGCTTTCTTTTGGTGGTATGTAATCACCTCTGGGTTTTTTATTTTTTGCTAAACAAACCAAAAAACTGAAAATGTTGCCTTGATGCATCACAATAAAGTTGTTTATCACACTTACTACACTATGGAAGTACCTTTGTCCCTACCCCTTGGGGGAGCTTTTTAGCTTGCAGACCCTACCAGGGACGGACCAGTACTTCCTAGAGGATACTTATACACCTTGAGAGACACCTACTGGTGAAAGAGACAACTAGTGTACGAGGAGTGTCTCCGTCTGCCTCTTATTATTTGATGTGATGACCCACTACCCCATAGAGGGAAGATCATCTCAAAACCGGTTCTCTTCATGATGACATCTGGATTATTAATACAAGGTGCATACATTATGCGCATCTGGTGAGTGCGCATTACCTTACCAATTTTGCACGGTTACCGGGTCAAGTGTCACCATAGCACAAGAAGCATCTTGTCACCATTACATTGGGACTTTGTATTGACCTTTTATTGATGTTTTATTGACTCACAACAATTTAACGCTGCACAGATTGGAAAAAGAAGTTGCACTATAGGCAAATCTCCTCATCTATGGGCTCATGCACACTGCAGCTCAAAGCTGCTCCTACAGACTTTTGGTCTTTTTTGAGCTTTCATTTTTCTCTGCCTGGAAACTTCTCTCCATGTTATATGCACACTATGGGCATTTTCAGGATCTTAAAGGCATTTGAGCTTACAGGCATTAAAAAACCCCCCACCAAACTTGAGTTTTTGAGAAGAGTTGTCAAGCAGAAAAGACACATAAGCACGCAAAACCGCACTTAAGCGCACAAAAAAAAGCTTTTTTATTATGAGCATCAGCTTCTTTTTTTCATGTAGAGTGGTTAAGAAAAGAATGTCTGTTGGAAGCTATGGGAGGTACACGAAGTTCCCAGTGGCCCAGCCTCCTATTGTTCTGCTCCATGTGCTCTTGAGAGCTGGTTGTGTGCTGCTGCCCTTTTGCTCTTGGAAAATGGCTAAGGACATTACCCAAATGCAGCTTATCGCCACTGTGCAGCAGTTTCCACAGCTGTGGGACGCTGGGCATGAACTGCATGCTGACCGGTTGCAAATGAGGAGTTTCTGGGATCTGCAGAGTTGACACCTCGGGGGGCTCAAATGGAATATGGTGCAAAAGCAAAGGATGCGTCCAGTAATGACGATGATTAATTGGCCAGTGTTGCAGATGCCTTCTGTGAAATAGCAGCCTCTGCAACATACGTAGTAGCACTATTTCATGAAGGGGGATCCATGTAAGGGGGATCAAAGTAAGGGGATCCATGATGATTGCAGTAAAAAATAAAAATTGATCTCTGCTCTCACAGTGCTATCTCTCAATTAAAATGGCGACTGGAACAAATTTTTCAATGCAATGTGGTCATTAGGGAGTAGGGGGACTGTTTGTGAAAAAAAACAAAACCTATGCATAAAAACGCACAATAAAAACACACAAGAGCACACAAACACGCACGTTTTTAGCACAAGCGCCTTTAACTTTATTTTTGAGCTTTTAATTTGAGTTGCAGTGTGCTTGAACCTTATGAAGTTATCGTGAATTTTTCTTTGTTCTCCAAAATAAACATTGAGGGTGCTGAATTTTTTTTGTCAGTCCACCCATGTTTCAAATAGCGTTCTTATCTTTACATTTATGGCCTGCTTAAAATAAAGGGATAGCAATCTGTGTAACCTTAGGTCAGTTGAGTGACATCAGGAGAGGATTGAGTTGTAATCGGCATAGACAAGCCTAATAATGTGAGCTCTAGAAGGTATTTTCACCCTGTCATCTCACTTTCTCGGTGTCTCAGCGTGATCTGCCCCAGGCTGTTTAATAGCGTGAAGTAGGATAAAAAATGTGCTTTGTGAAATCTGTCAACGACATTAGTATTCTGAGGGTACATCTGATTGTGTCATCGGGCTAGATGGTAAAACAAATAGCTTCAGAAGACCACCGTGGGACTGTACAAAGCCATCATTAGAAGCTAGAGTTACATAGACAGCACATAAAATCTGCTTTTGTTGAGCCCTGGCAAAGCTGAGCTTGGAGCCAAGAATAAAGAGCAGCATAGCTAATCAGCTTGTTAAGTAGAGTACTGTACACTTCACAACATCACAGCCACTTCTCTTTGTGTTTTATTTTCCTACCTGCAATTAAGTGACTTTTCTAAGCTTTGTTCTCTTGGTGTGCAAGTCCTGATGAAGGGGCTGAGCCGACTATTCATGTCTTTGTATCCTGAATGTTTATAAATTTGGTGTAGTTCCTTAATCTTTGAAATCTGTTCACATCATGGTTTTTGCCTGATTACAGTTAAACTATTTCATTGCGCATTTCCTTGACACATAAACATTGCTCCTGACTTCTAATACAGTTATAAAAAATGATGCTCTAGCAAGATGGGCAAGGGGTTCAGTTCACAAAGTGTAAAGACACACACACACACACTCTATATTGCCAAAAGTATTGGGACGCCTGCCTTTACACGCACATGAACTTTAATGGCATCCCAGTCTTAGTTCGTAGAATTCAATATTGAGTTGGCCCACCCTTTGCAGCTATAACAGCTTCAACTCTTCTGGGAAGGCCATCCATAAAGTTTAGAAGTGTGTCTATTGGAATTTTTGACCATTCTTCCAGAAGCACATTTGTGAGGTCAGGCACTGATGTCGAAGGAGAAGGCCTGGCTCGCAGTCTCTGGTCTACTTCATCCCAAAGGTGTTCTATTGGGTTGAGTTCAGCACTCTGTGCAGGCCAGTCAAGTTCACCCCAAACTCGCTCATCCATGTCTTTAT